TGTGGTTACCTAAGGAAGAGAGGAAAGAAAAAAGAATTGCCTCGGGTATGTTCCCGTAAAGTTTTCAAAGCTTTGGATGTAACAATCGAAAGAAGTTCCCAAATTGTATATATAGTAATCGAGGTGGATTTGAATAGTAGCGAGTAAGGCTCAAAATTTATGGCCCTCTATCAGACAAGTGAGAAGTGAACATCGCAGTACTATTAAATTTCGACGGCGGGAAAAATGATTCGAATTGTTACAGTAATTTACGTAATTGTTTAATTGTTACATAAATTTAATAAATAAATAACTACGGATGACAAATGCTATCATATTGTAAACAAAAAATAACAAAACTTACATTAAATTATCTCCTAAACCAATGGTTCTTTGATAGGAATAAGTTAATAGTTTTTTTATAGAAAATGTCCCGATAAATTAATTAGTGCATTGAAAATTATGTGGTCCTATTTAAAAAAAAAGATGTTCACCTTAAAATTTCCCCCGTTACTCGGCTTGTAAAAATATATTTTACATTATATGATATTTTACTTTGAACTGTCATTATTGTAATTAAAGAGGTTGAAAAGGTTAAAAAGTATTTCTAATGTATATATAAACATGTATTTATTTATAACTGCGTGATTCAGCCTTGAATGGCCAAATATTACACTACATTTCGACTACTTTTGCAAACTCTGTCAAAATTAAATTATATTTCACACCGAGATCTTATGGAAATTAATTTAAGTGCAAATTACAATTAAAAAATTCACTAAACCTAGATGAGATTAATTCGAATCAGTGTGAAATACAAATTTTGAAAGTAAAGTTTGCAAATACATTAGGGACAAGATTCACCTTGTCTGGCAATCATTTGACAATCTTAAACATTATCAGTCTACAAAGTTATACTAAACAACTCCTTACATAAAAGTATTTAGATACAATTGTCATAACAGTATCAGCAATGTATTATGCATTCACACAAACAGTGCATGTAATATGTACATCATTCTATAGTTAAAAATTCATTTTTTTCATACTGCATTCATACCACACAGGGATTACTGTATGTACTTAACCCTATTTGGTATGTATTTAAGAGCTCTATTTTCAACTTCATTATTTTAAAAACTTATAAATGTATTTTAATAACGAAATTGTTGATTTCATTTTATATTTCATTAAATTTCTTTAATTTGCGTTTCACGTTATTTTTATACTTAAAGAAAGTTCTGTACACTTTTACACTTTTTTAAAAATTGGAACAGCCTTATAAATGTGAAGCAACATTTAAGAAATTTTTAACTTATATATATGTTGTTGCATCATGTATCTTGTAAAATTGGTAATGAAAATGCTCGATCGAAGTAAATTATTTTAAATGTAGATGTTTAGCGTGCATGTATGTATATACATGAATTTGTAGAAAATTTCCAATGAGTAAATCCGACTTTGATGTTAAACATGTACAAAAAAACTTCGTTTACAGTGTCATAAAAAATGTATAATTCATTGCAACGAATACACTATGCGTTATATGAGACTGTAGGTTCACCAATTACGATTCTGTGGTATTTAGCGAACCAAGTTCATCTCTACACTTCCAGTTCAACACTATGCAATAATTCAGTGAATCTTAACTTGCATTTAAAATTAAAAACAAGCTAATCTTCAGCACTGTTCACTGTTCTGTACTATTTCAAAATTTATCTTCATAACTTTTATTAACTTCTCTTTCTCTCAAAGTGATTTTGTAATG